CCAGGAACGGCAATTTCAACACCAGGAACGGCAAATTCAACACCAGGAACGGCAATTTCAACACCAGGAAAGGCAATTTCAACACCAGGAACGGCAAATTCAACACCAGGAATGGCAATTTCAACACCAGGAACGGCAAATTCAACCCTAGATTTTCGGGTTGTTTAGGGAAAGAATTGAGCAAAGGCACAAGGATGATCAGCAGCAAGATGCAAGATCGATTCAACCTTTTATTTACTAAGGTTAACTTTAGTTGCCGAGCCTTAACGAAAAAATAGCAATGACGACCGGTAACGTCTCCGCAGATTAATGTAAAGGGTTATGCATCTTGCCGCAGCCAGTGAGGTTAGGTTAGGTTAGGTCGGATTATTTTTGGGAGGCTAGTCGAATGAACTTCAGTACGTATAGGCGAGGCCGGAGGCAGAATTACAGCTTATAAGAAAAAATGCTCGAGCAGAGGATTGGAAGTTACGTACGGTGTTGTTGCATTAACTACTTCATTCGCAAATACCCATATGCGTTGCCGATGAAAATATGAACTAAAATGTTTGGTTGGGCTAAGATGGCCTCCGGCATAATCCGTTCTCGATAAAACGTTTTCGTTTCAAGTTTTATTACACGCCACGTTCTTTAGTCAATCGGCAATTTTAGTTCTTCCCTCAGCTAGCTGAAACTTTAGTAATGTTGAAAATTTTTTCCTGTGATCGAGAAAATTTGAAAAGTTGAGCAAAATCTAATCTACTATCTACTCACCATAATGACTGTCGACTGCCGTGATGGGTGGTGCACCGTACTCCATTGAAGGGGGACCATATTTCGAGGCAGGTTGATGGTAATGGTGGTTGGCAGGATGGTGATCAGCAATAAGTTGGACGCCATGAGAGAGCTTGTACTTGGGATGAGGGGAGTGTTGCAAGAGGATATCTACCAAGGCCTCGGTATTTCGCCCGCTTGGTTGAGAATGAGGTTCATGAGACGCAATGAGGTCGAAGTGCGATTCCTGAGGTCGGTTGATGATCCTAACGGACGGTGGGGCTGGCGGTGGAGGCACATCAGATGCCAGGGGATCAGAGTACGATTGATGGGGGTGGTTGACAATCCTGGCGGACGGTGGAAATGGTGGTGGAAGTACATCGGATGCCAGGGCATCCGAGAAGGATTCTTGGGGGCGGTTGACGATCCTGGCAGAAGGTGGAAATGGTGGTGGAGGCACATCAGAAGCCAAGGGATCTGAGTACGATTCCTGGGGGCGGTTGACGATCCTGGCGGACGGTGGGGCTGGTGGGGAAAGCACATGGGATTCCCGAGGATCCCTGAACGATTCCTGAGGTCGGTTGAAAATTCTGCCAGTCTGATCGGCTGGCTTAGGCTGCCCACTTTCTGCCGTTATATTGACGTTCCCAGACGATGAATTTTTCACGTTTGCGTTAGGAGGGCTAGGGGCGTGGCTGGGTAACGTCAACTCTTCGTCGTCAAGGAACAAAGCACGCAAGTCTTCATCTCCGAACTCCCGCTCCAGGACCGCCCGGCCGTCGGCGAAGGCGAACTCATCGTCAGCGTCAGACACTCCTGGGAGACCGAGGTTATTGTGGGGGCGACGTGAAGTTTAGCGATGGAAGTGGCCACAGACATGACAGTGGCCACTGCACGCAGTCATGCCACTGAAGGCAGGCATCATGCCACCGAAGGCAGGCATCATGCCACCGAAGGCAGGCATCATGCCACCGAAGGCAGTCATCATGCCACCGAAGGCAGGCATCATGCCACCGAAGGCAGGCATCATGCCACCGAAGGCAGGCATCATGCCACCGAAGGCAGGCATCATGCCACCGAAGGCAGGCATCATGCCACCGAAGGCAGGCATCATGCCACCGAAGGCAGGCATCATGCCACCGAAGGCAGGCATCATGCCACCGAAGGCAGGCATCATGCCACCGAAGGCAGGCATCATGCCACCGAAGGCAGGCATCATGCCACCGAAGGCAGGCATCATGCCACCGAAGGCAGGCATCATGCCACCGAAGGCAGGCATCATGCCACCGAAGGCAGGCATCATGCCACCGAAGGCAGGCATCATGCCACCGAAGGCAGGCATCATGCCACCGAAGGCAGGCATCATGCCACCGAAGGCAGGCATCATGCCACCGAAGGCAGGCATCATGCCACCGAAGGCAGGCATCATGCCACCGAAGGCAGGCATCATGCCACCGAAGGCAGGCATCATGCCACCGAAGGCAGGCATCATGCCACCGAAGGCAGGCATCATGCCACCGAAGGCAGGCATCATGCCACCGAAGGCAGGCATCATGCCACCGAAGGCAGGCATCATGCCACCGAAGGCAGGCATCATGCCACCGAAGGCAGGCATCATGCCACCGAAGGCAGGCATCATGCCACCGAAGGCAGGCATCATGCCACCGAAGGCAGGCATCATGCCACCGAAGGCAGGCATCATGCCACCGAAGGCAGGCATCATGCCACCGAAGGCAGGCATCATGCCACCGAAGGCAGGCATCATGCCACCGAAGGCAGGCATCATGCCACCGAAGGCAGGCATCANGAGTCCCGGGACATGTTAACCCCGTACAACCCCGAGTCCCGAAACATGTTAACCCCGTACAACCCCGAGTCCCGGGACATGTTAACCCCGTACAACCCCGAGTCCCGGGACATGTTAACCCCGTACAACCCCGAGTCCATCTCACTCACATGTCCAGACGCGTGGTCGTGGCTGCGGAATAAAAAAAACATTCATGCATCATTTTTGTCATAATGCTTTAAATTAATTATTATTTATTGAATATTTATTATCATGTATTTAATATTAATCATTATTTTTGACATCTATTCTTGTTTATTATTTAATCAATTAAATTTCGTCATATAATTTGACATGAGCAGCAAATTTCATAGAATATAACATCAGCTTTGGGTCCTAGTCCTCACCCGTGGTCCGCTGACGCCAGCAGCGCCTGCAGCAGCAGCAGCGCTGACACCCCGCGGGCTGTAGAGGGAGCAAGTGTCAGCAGCATGTGTCAGTGGTTGCGAACTTGAGATCAGTACAACATTTCAATTCCAGCCGCCACTATTCACCGCACTAGTGGTCACGTAAGGAACCAGTAACATTTTACACGAGGCCGGCGAGCAAGGCAGTTAGTGGCTGCCACTACAGGCACGAGTCTATACAGTAACTAAATTACTAAATAAAGTACCGAATAATAAATATATTAGTAATTACAGTAAATATTATTAAATAAATTGTAAACTAAACGTTTCGTTTAAGCTTCAGGGGCCGCTCTATTTATACTTCGTCAGCCAATCAACGTCGGCTTCTCTAGATAGACGCAGCAATTACAGACAATAAATCAGGCGATAGGTGTAATCAAGTTAGTTTAGATTCCTAAAATTTAAAAATTTGAAATACAATTCTACAAATGTTGAGGCAATTTTTATTAAAAGGCTTGAAGTATTACAGTCTCTGGGCGGGGCGAAACTAAGAGTTCAGGAATGGTCAAGACTTTACAAAACATTCAACACACGCAACGTGTCCACTAAGGTTAACAATTTCACTATGCGACAGCTTGAAAAAATTTACTTCGATAATTACCAAAGATTCTGGCAGGAAAGGCATAACTCGATAACAGCTGGCCTGGCTCCTCGCTCAGCGCATTACAGGTGTGGAATAAATCTAGTTTCCGGCACCGGCACAGCAATGTACGTTCTCTCGAAATGCCCGAATTTATTCTCGTTTCGAAAACTTGATACTGGCATTGGAGCTGCTAATCCCAAATTTAACCTTTCAAAATCCAATAATAATGCGCGATTTTTGAGCCGCCACCAGTCCAAACGTCCTACAATTTCGGCTCTGCACGGACTACGGTGAACCACTTGTTCATCACAACTCAATGACGTTGACTCCTAACAATACTTTACAATTACCGTTCCTTCCAAATTCCAATGCTAGGAAAATATAGCTTAATTAAAGTAATGAAGATATTATCACCCTAGTTTATTGAAGATCCACTTGAACAAACCACTGAACTGACCTGCTGGGAACGCTGATGGACGCCGGCATGAAGAAGGCCTCGACATGGTCGCTGTCAAAGCACTTACGGTGAAAAAATTAAGGAAGATGCACACACAATCACAGCTAGCGGCGCACTGAGGGCAACCGCAGACAAGGCCCCGTCTCGTGACGTCACGACGGCGGCGCGCCGGCAACTAGTGCGTCTGTATAGCTTTGTTCGTACTCCAGCTCATCAATATCGGCTTCTGATACATTATTCCTTTACGTAACGATGCTAACTCTCGATAGAACAAATTCATATTCCTCACATAGATTTATTTAAATATATTTCATGATTAGGCGTTAGAAGCATCTCTTGAATTCCAGCGGATAAGATTCAAGATGACGAAGCGGTTGAGAACCTCTAGCGATGCGAACAACCTATAGAAGGTCTTCCAGATCACGCTGGAATAATTAGAGTGAATAAACTTATCGCCATAAAATCATTCCTCCATGACGTATTCTCTCCTACTCGCACCTTGTACTACGTGACCTATTGTTCTCTCCTACTCGCATCTTGTATTACGTGACTTATTGTTCTCCGTACTCCGTAGCTAACGCGTTTCCCCTACTCGCGCCTTGCAGGACTAAAGACTCTGGGGCCATACTTTCAAAAAAAGTTAAGAGATCGTAAGTTCATTAGCCGTCGACGCTGAAGAAATAGGCCCATGGCCTGTTGCCGATTCTTGAACTTTTCGTGACTTGATTCACAAGG